TTTTTCTTGTGTCTTCCTTCTTCTTCCTTTCTACCACCGAAGAATAAGGAAGACTGATCTGAATCTTCTCAACTCAATAAAGTAATTGGTTTGAGGGGCATACTTATTTTCACTAGTCAGATTGACAACCGCTAGATGTGCAAACACAAAATAGTTTCGGATAATTCATTTGTTGTAAAATACTTCAATTCATTTAACACATCATAATTAAGGCTAGATTCAGATGTCATCTCAAGCATATAACAATTAATGGATTTCTAAATTGAATCCACACTTGATGTCGGAATGGGATAAGGTAGATCTATCATTACATATATTCTACATATATGATATCTACATGTTCAACATGAATAATACAACTAGTGCAACAAATATGGATATCGAGAAGAAAAGAAACTATTTTTCTTGTTGAGTTAATAGCAGTGAATTGCTGACTACCTGAAAACTCAAGAAAACAAAGATTAAGTGCAAGGATACATTTAAAAAGACAGCTGCAACAACGCACGAGTAGTTCGAAATGGTTAAACTGAGTGGTTATAAGACGAAAGAGCGCTTGTGAAATAGTGAATTCTATATTTCCATAACCACAACAGAGATGCACTGTGTTAGTTTCAGTCAAACAGATAGCTAGATACACAAGACGTACGGTGGGGTAGACACACACTGTTAGTTCTAGCCAAACAGTACATATCGGTCCCCTTTCGTTGTGGATTTGCATTTCTTTATGGCGCATGCTTGAGTTTGTGTAGCGATTTTATTATAAGCAGCGCACGATCGTGCACGACTCCTCCGACTCGACAAGGGGCCCTTGGTTAGCTCTCAATCTTTTCATTGGTGTCCTGCCCACCTCTCTATTATGGTCCCGCCCGGCCGCCCTCTGCATCGATCACGTATATGCACATCAATACATGTATCACGGTGGTGATGGCAGTCTGGCAGATATTTCATAGTTCCACACATGCATGATGCATGCATCCCACGCCCTAGCTAAGCTAACTTGCATGATGCATGATGATGCATGCGTGGCATAAGTTAACTTGCTATAGCTGAGAACTGCTGCAAACTGTCTGGTTGAGTTTCTTTTATAGTGAACCTAAGCATTCAGATGGTTGCTCGTAAATTTTTATTTATTTCAAGGATTAAAAGTGTTGTTCTTTTAGTAGCAAGTGATGTGTCCATCAACATCAAGGCGTTTATTGTGACTTCGTTAATATTGAGATTAGACTCTCGATTATGCTCATAGAGGTAGAGTGTTTGCGTGCGTACATATATAGGGTGAGTGTGCGCATATGTATGAGTGTCTACCGTGATTCGCAAAAATTAAATATTAATAACCTGCTAGCTTATGTGTTGCTATGTCATTAAGAGATAACATATATGAGACATATTCTTCAATGAGTCTAGCTCTTAACATTTTATCATGGGTATCAGATCCTATCTTTCTCTAGCCTTTACCTCCATCCTCGTCCTCTAGGTAGTGTGCTTGATTGGCGACAGGTCATAAATTTGGCCGTTCATGTGCTTCCAACAGTACCCTATAGGTTCTTACGTACTCAAAACATTTTATCTGTCATCTAGAGAAAAATAAGCTTGGCAAACCTGCTTAATTAACTTGTGGACCCTTTTGTTGGTTGGCCTCGCAGAAATTGTTCACAAGCTTGAAAGTTAGGGAGCTAGGACTACTACCAAACAAAATAAATTCGTACTCTATGAATCATGACAGATCACAGATGACACGTCCTTTTGCACATGGACACATGGTACATGCATCGTTCCATCAATTCCGTTTTACGTCCTCGAGCTCGAGCACACCAGTCTCACTACGCAAATGCAATAATCGCTATAAAAAGGGCATGTTTGATTCAGTTGTGAGCTGTGAAAATGTAGTTGTATGGTTAAAACTACTATAAAACATACTCTCTTCATCTCCCTTCAAACAGCCGTAAACACATATATTTATTTCCACCTATTTGGAAAAAGTAAAAAATAAAGCCAAAGGTGCTGTTAAAATTGTACTGTGCGAAAACAGTTTCTTCTGAAAAAGCAACTTATGATTCTATATGTTTGATTGAAGTTCTGCTTTTTAACAAAAACACTTTTCAGAAACTAAATCAAACGCAGCCTAAGTAGCTTGGACAGGTTGATGATTTGAAAACTAACAAGAGTGAAAGGCAGCTTCATCGAGGATTCCCCGAGGATTTTAGCAATAACAAACTATCTTACTTACAAACAAGCAGGTTCACAAATGACGTAATATTTCAGACCAGCCAATTTTCATCCTGTACGACTTTTGTTCTCATCATCGATGCCATTTGGCAATTATTATCTACATACATACATCTATATTCATTAGACCAAAGTTTGTACTTGTACTTACAACAATCTGGATTGTACAATATACACATCAACAATGACCATCATCAAGCACCAATGTCTTAACATATGCCATTGGTCTGAATCTACCGCCCTGCGCGTTGCTGCTCTCACCTCAGGCCCTCGGAGTACTCCATCATGGCAGCCCTTGGATCACCTTCAGTAACAGATAAGTAGTACGCAGCAGTCCCATCGTCGACCTGCAGGCTCCGCCTCACCGACTCGAGAATCCTTTTGCTTCACCTCTCTGCAGCAACAATGCTTGCCATGGATTCAGTTTTCACCTGGGCGTCCCTCAGGGTAAAAGATTGCAACCTCTCTCTTGGCGTTATGGTCCATCTGGATGTAGCAGGTGCTGCCCATAAGGATTTCTGGGTTGCTGATCGAAATCAGAAGCCTCTCCCTCGAATAGATGCCATGGTCACTCATCATGTTGTTGAATCGTTTGATATCTGTCACCTGCATGCTATTGCTATTCAACAAGCATGAAATTGCAGTCTCATGAAGAATAGAAAAGACAGCTAGCATTTGCCAAGCCCCTTTGCGGAGGGTCCTTTATAGTAGATGACCCGTTGGACAACCTTTGGTAGGGTAAATGGTTTTTTATTGCAGTTTCATTAAGCATATATGATTATGCTGAGTAATCCTGCAGTAGTCACTAAATAAAATGTCCATCCCTTCAATAGTGCAATGCATCCAATAAAACATTTTATTTTTAGAAGGCTATCAAACAAACACAATCCTGGGCATAAGCATGTTGTAAGCAGTGAGACCATGATAATTTAAACACCAGTAGTGGTTGAGCAAAAAGAGATATTTCAAGACTCATCTGCTTTTCGAACTTGATATGTATAATAATACATAAAGCTGATAAAAACTTATTGAAGCATTATATTAGGAAACTCTAGCCTCATCCAACACAAAACAGATCCTAACAACAGGATGCCAGGTGTTAGGATCTGACCTGGCATCCTGTTCTTAGTCTATATGAAGTCTGATCTGTATGAACACAAAAAACTTTTGATAATAAGAAATTTTATCCAAAACTTAACATCTGTATGAAGTCTGATCCCTCAACAGCAAGGTCAGATGCAGCAAGCTAAGTAGATTCCTACCTGATGTGAGCCTAACCACCTAAAACTCCATTTGGATAGATATTAAAAAAAAAACAACTGGGATAACCAAAAATCCAGTTAAAAAAATAAAAATGATTCCTACCTGTTTTTTTAGAAACCAACTCATGTAGTTCATGTTCTGCGCCATGTGCTTCGTTTTTCTTTCATCTTATGTCATGTGCTTAACAAAGTAAGCACCATAATCCATACTACTTCCCTAATGTCTAATCAATTGTTAAATTAGAAGAAAAGTGATCTGGTGCTATGTAATGGCGTCAGAGAATACTTGTTTTAGTTTACGAAACCCAAACAAAGTAATCCATAAACCTGGACCTACCTAACTAACAACCTAAAACCAATTTTCCTAAAAATTCTAAAAAACCTGTTTTGTGAAAACAATCAAACATACACATAATCAATGTGTCCAAACAACCACCTAAGTGACTACCAGAAACTCATGACACTAGCTTCAAACACACCGTGACACAGTAGTAGTTACAGTAGTGATGTCCAACCCACAGGCAGAAAACTTTCTTAATCTAATAAAATCCTATAGTTATTATTCCAGAGTAATGACATTACATTGAGACTTGAGAGACTAAAAAGCCACCACTTTCAACACTAAGAGTAATTGCAAGCACCCAGAAACCCAGCGGTGAGCACAAGACTCCTTACAGACACAGTGACCATACTCGATGCTGAATATGATATAGATCCCTCTCTCTTCCCATCCCTGCTCAACAAAACCACTAACAATGACATAGCGAACTTCCCGTGCTCCAACCCCATTGCTTCATTCCTTCCAATGAATCATGGCTATGTTTATCTGCCACATAAAACTCCTGACCACTACTGCCATATCATCAAATCCCAATTGGAGCACCTCTTCATTAAATTCAAAGGACAAAAGTTATCAGCAGCATGAAAAACAATGTACTCTACACAAGTACTAAGCTACACTAGTGTGAAGAAGGCATCAAAATGACAGATCTCAAACTACACAGATGCACTACATTCGTTCAAAACTGTTAGCTTCAGCCTCAGCCTTGTCCTAAGTCAAACTTCTAAACTTTGACCAAGTTGATAGAAAAATACATCAACATCTATATAGTATCGAATTAGTTTCATTAAATTATCAATGAAATATGTCTTGAACTCTTCATGGTGCATTTATTTGAACTTGTGGATGTTAAGTTGTTAACTAATTTTGACTCAAGACAGGGCTAAAATGAACTATAATTTGAAACAAAGGGAGTAAGTATTTGATTGATGAGATCTCTTGATTGATCATAAGTTGGCGGATGTTCTTACACACTTTGCGCGTACCTACGCATTATTAACAGTTTGTTCATTTCCTTCTAGGATACTTGTTCAACCACCACTGATGACCAACTTTTTTTATTAATTTTGAGTTTTTGACTAGCTCCGTCTTCCTATGATGACAAGAACGAGCCTCACATCCCTGATGTGGAAGTACCCCAGATTATCTACTTCCATTTCCATATACTCTCTCTAAGGTTCAGTCCGAATTAATCCTGCGACGGAGTACATACAAGCGATCAAATCTTAATGCATATGATCTGCTGCCACAGAATGTTTAGGGGCGATCAAAACCAGATTCATGTGAGGATTATAGGCGCTTCGACAAGTTGGATATCACCTCAGCAAACAATAGGTCGATCGCCACATCGTTGGAACATAGAGCGCGCACGATACAGAACACGCACCGCGGCGGACGGCATGCGACAGCGCGAATCTCCCGAGGGAGGCGGCCCGCCAGAAGGCCCCCGTCGCCGGCTCGCCGACGACGCGCCGCACGCCCCAGGGCGCACAGAAGGCGGCCTCGGCCACGGCGCGGTCGGAGGCAACAGCGCGCCACGCGCGGCAGACGCAGGCGGACCGCGCGAGGTCGATCGGCGGCAACCTCTGCAGCACGGCGCGAAGCAGGTCCGCCGGGAGGCGCGCGTCCATCGCGCCCGCGGCCGGATCGGGTTTGGGGCTCGGCGGATCGGCCGGAGAGGAGGCGTCGGGACCCCCGCCTGCGCCGTCGTCTACGACGCGCGAGTCCATGGCCTTGAGAGACTCGTGCTGTGGCTGGCGTTAGGGCCGCGTGGATGGAGTCGGGTGACGAAATGGGAGGTCGGAAGCGGCGCGGCGGAGGCGGACTCGAGCGGTCGGGCCGTCTGGACCGTGTGGTGTATCGGCTCCTCTTCCTCCTCGCGGTTGGGTTTGGGCTCATTTGCTCCATCCAAATTTTAAGTGGGCCTAGAGGGCATTTTATTCCACATGGGCCTGGCCATCTTCACCCTTCACCACCGGGGCTTCTAGAAACCCGACCGGCCGGCCGCAATCCGACGAGAGAGAGAGAGTCAGTCACGAATCCGGATAGAGCGCCGCCCCCACCCCGCCGCGCCGGCCCCACTCGCCGCCGCCCCGAGCAGAGAGAGGGAAAGAAAGGCGAGGAGAGAAGGAAGCATGACGACAATCCGCCGGTTCTGCTGCGACGACCTCCTCCGCTTCGCCTCCGTCAACCTGGACCACCTCACCGAGACGGTGCGCCACCGACGCGTTTCCCCTCTCGTTCCTTTGTTCGAGCGCATCCCCTCTCTGATCTCACGATTCGGTCGCCGCAGTTCAACATGTCCTTCTACATGACGTACCTGGCGCGCTGGCCCGACTACTTCCACGCCGCCGTCAACCTTGGCGGCCGCGTCATGGGTTACAGTATGTCTCTCATACCTTTGCATCTTGGTTGTGTGGGCGTATCGGCCTCTCATAAATTCGCGGCTAGTTGTGCGCTGCTAGTGCGTCTGCATCTATGCTTGGCAAATTAAAATTAGCTGAACATGTAGAGTGCAAACCCTGGATGCTAGTTTGAGTGTTCAGACATGAGTGGTGTAAAAGGCACTGGATTATCTTCTTCTGCACTGTTTTTTATGCATTACGCAATTAGTCATATGTAGATGCTGCCTGGTGCAATCCATGGTTTGTGTTCTTCAAGATGGCATTGTTTTAGGAGTGCAAAGTGCACTTGTAAGATACTGGGATTTGCGATGTTGGTTCGTAAAAGGAGTGTGTGAAATCTGAAATGGCTGGTGAAGGTAGCAATAGGATACTGGTTAACTCACTATGGCCTCTTTTGTTTTTAATCTTGAGTGGTGAGCATCAAAATTAGAGGTTTATCCCCTTCTGAAGCATATAATGCAATATTATTCTGCATGTTCCATTTCTTTCTTTCACCTTCATTTAGTTTAGGGAAGTAAGCTAGAAATCTTTTGCAGTCATGGGTAAAGTTGAAGGGCAAGGTGAATCTTGGCATGGACACGTCACAGCGGTGTCAGTTGCCTCTGAATTTCGGAGGCAGAAGTTAGCCAAGAAGCTTATGAACTTACTGGAGGAAATCAGTGATAAGATGTAAGTAACATGTTTTCGTTTCTCTTTCTCCTTCTTGTTTAGTCCCTATGATATCTTTTTTCCCCTTTATTATGGATACGGAGTTCTTGTGCTATTATTGGATCTTCACAATGTATGATTGTTGTAATCTTAATTGTTGTTTGTTGAGTTTATAGTTCATGACATGCTAATAGTTCATATAATCTGTTCTTCTCTCCAGATATTTCATATTCTTTTCCTATCTTAATGCTCTGATAATCTTAAGAAAAATTCCCTTTGTCTTGGATTCACACTTTATGTATCAGAAAAAATAATTATGGTTCATGCTTCTACTTCTTGATTCCAGCTTTTGCTAACTAGATCAAGGAACATTTCTCCCCCTATCCAGCTTATTTCAAGTTCTGCATGTGTGAGGGGCTGATCGGCAGTTACTACTCCCTCCATTCCAAATTATAAGACGTTTTGGCTTTTCTAGATACATTGTTTTTGCTACGTATTTAGACATACACTATATCTAGGTGCATAGCAGTAGCTATGAATTTAGAAAAGCCGAAACGTCTTATAATTTGGAACGGAGGGAGTAGTTAGGAACAGGGTTTCATCCTGGTAGAGCATTTAGAGTGGTATAAGAGCACAATACCCTCCCATTCTCACGTTTACATTGAAGGGGATAACTGAATTCATGACATATCATCCCCCCTGTGCCCTAGTCTGGTTACATTTTCCCCCACAAACTAGTCTGGTTACTTGTCACCCTGATAATAGGCACTGAATATCTGCTATGTTCAACCCACATTAGTGTTATCATGTTGGATAGATGTGATGTCCTTGAAGTCATACATATTAGATCATTAGCATTACTTCACATACTATTATAACCCAGTTTTCCTATTCAGGGATAAGGCCTACTTTGTGGATCTCTTTGTAAGGGCATCTAACATGCCAGCGATAAGGATGTACGAAAAGGTAACAGTGTCTATAAATTTCAGGATCAATGCCCACTTGATGTGCCAAATTCTGCTGCTCCAAACAGAACTTTTTAATATTTATTAATGTCAACCAGTGAAACCAAGTTTTTGATTAAGTAGTTTAGTGAGTGAACTTGCCTAATTATGTTCCTTGTTTCCATAGCTTGGTTATGTGGTTTACCGAAGGGTGCTCCGGTACTACTCAGGGGAAGAAGATGGCCTTGGTAAGCATTTGCAGTGCCAAATCTCAAGGCATACATATTCCAAATTTGTTGCTTATTATGGTGCACTTATGCCTGTATATGTTTTTGCTCCAGATATGAGAAAAGCATTATCACAAGATGTTGAGAAGAAGTCCATCATACCACTCAAGAGGCCAATTACGCCTGATGAACTTGAATATGATTGATGTTAAAACTTTACTACCTGGTGCTTACGTTGAAAGCTCTGGTGTGGAATTTGATAGGCTTTGAATATCTGGTAGTGTCATTAGTTGTCAGTGTATTGTTCTTTTCGTACCTGTTAGGGGACAGAGGTTTTCGAGGTGAATGCTGCAGTTTTTATATTTGAGAATAGCAAGAACTATGTCTTGGCATGGAATCGAATTTCTTTGTTCTGAGGTCGCACCCATTTTTATCCTGTGATGCTATTTGCTGTGTAGTGTAGTGTGTTTTTATACAGCTTACACAGTACAAGTTACATTTGACCCATGTTAAGCGGTGATAGGTAGAGTTTAACCTGTCATCACAATTAGTAGCAATTCAGTGCCTGAGATACTGAATGGCACGTGAGCTTGTCAATCAAATGATATCATTCTTTACCCTTTCACTTATGCTGTTGGCGCGACCATGTTTAAGCAAGTCACCTCATTGCAAAAACATTACTCTGGACAATGGTTGTAAAGTAATGGTCGAGGAAGAGGAGACCAGACAGGAAGTGGAAACCTCCAGAGAAAAGCGCGGTGATCAACACTGATGCTGCTTTTGATGCAAGCAGCAATACATTGCGCGAGAGATCATGTGCGTGATATGTTGGTTCGCAGGTGCAGGAAAGACTGCCGATGCTAGCACAAAACAGTTATTGGAAGTTCGTTCGCAGGTGCGGGAAAGACTGCCGATGCTAGCACAAAACAGTTAATGGAAGTTCCAGGTCTCAGGATGTAGGATCGACGAGGCTAGATATGCAGACTCGACATTAAAGGGTTCATTCAACAATGCTTCAACTTATTTGGACATTGGAGTTTCAAACAAATTTTAAAAAAAATAATCAGAGCATTCGGTGCTTCTTTTGCTTCAAAATTCTTGCCCAAATTTGGCCACTCAAGTTTTTGGAAAGATATGCTTAAATTAGGTGGCCAGTAAAAATAACAAATGCAAAGGGCAATTTGGACAGATGCTTCCTGAAGCTGACTTGAACTCATTTAGCAAAGGATGATAAATTCTACACCCTCCACGATCAGCCTGTTTTATTAGTAACCAAAGCAATTACATTATTGAACTAAGTGAGGGATCTCTGAAACAAGACGAGTAATTATTTGTATATGAGGGCGTCACGTCCAGGCCCGACACCAATGTAGTGGACTGGAATGCCGACCAGTTCCTCTATCCTCTCCACATAGCGACGAGCAGTATCTGGGAGATCACTGTAGTCTCGTATTGAGGAAATGTCTTCCTCCCATCCAGGTAGGGCCTCATATTTGACCTACACAACCAGAGACCACAGGAATTGTTGTCAAGAGAAACAAGACCCAAATTAAGTGCCATGCTGGAGACTGCTTTGATTGTGTTGTATATAAAGTTATACCAATGAAACACAACTCAGTAAAGCAGGATAGACTGTTTCGATCCTTACCTTTATTTGCTCTAGAAGATCAAGATCTGCTGGGAATGATTGGACAGTGTTACCGTCATCGGTGTAGTATGAGGTACCCAGCTTAATTTCCTTGAGTCCAGTTAAGACATCGAGTTTTGTGAGATTCAAAGATGAGAAACAATTGATTTGGCAACAGTATTTAAGTGCAACTATATCAAGCCAGCCACAACGCCTAGGACGACCTGTTGTAGTACCAAATTCCATTCCAGAAGCACGAAGCAAATCGCCAGTCTTACCCAATAGTTCTGTTGGGAAAGGACCGGATCCAACCCTAGTTGTGTAGGCTTTTACCTGGACATAAAAACATTACGTTCAGGAAGAATGGGACATAAGAAATTTTAAGCAGTTTAAGTAATTAAGCGTACCACTCCAATGATATCACCGAGACTTCTGGGAGCAATACCAAGCCCAGTACAGATTCCACCAGCTGAGGGACTTGAGGAAGTAACAAAGGGGTAGGTCCCAAAGTCTATGTCTAACATGGTAGCTTGACCACCTTCAACCAATATTTTCTTCTTCTGCAAAATGGACTGATTCATGAAATGCACAGTATCAGTGATAAAAGGTTCCAATCGTTCAGCAAACCTTTTATACTTCTCAACTTCCTCTTTGAGAATCTTGCTATCGTATTCAAAATCTTTGAAGCGTAGAGCTGCATCTCTTAGTAGGTTGTTGAGTTTTGCACCAAAGGTATCCATATGTCGCAGATCACTTACTCTGAGTCCATTCCTTGTAACCTTGTTCGAATAGCATGGTCCAATTCCTCTCTTCATTGTCCCTATAAGGGCATTCCCAAGCTCTACCTCTCTAAGACCATCAACAACTTGATGAAGATCAAACAAAAGATGGGCACGGTCTGATACCAAAAGCCTTCCCTCGCAAGAAATTCCATTAGACTCTAGCCCATCAATTTCCTTAAAGAATCCAGGAAGATGAACAACTGCTCCATTACCAATCACACACTGAGTGTTTTCATTAAGGATGCCTGACGGAACAAGATGAAGTGCAAACTTCTTCCCTTCAGAATTGTATATGGTATGTCCAGCATTAGCTCCACCCTAAGAACATAAACAACCCTACAAGTTAAAAGGGGAAAACAGGGGTGTATCAAATCTTTTTTTTTTCTCGTGCATCAAATCTTATTGCAAACAGTAGGCCTGGTACTACTGTCACCAACTATTTCAGAGGAAGGATCAACTTAAACTAACAGAGCCTCAAATAACCGCATAGAACAGCAGAAGAAATAGTAAGTTGAGTGGACTCTGCACAGGCAATGTTATTCACAAGGAAACACGAATACACGATCATATGTCAAACCACAAGGAGCTACACATGTTAGTAGCCGGCGCTCTTAATAGTGGTTGCTTGGTAGTGAATTGCTATAGAGGATGAAATGTTGTTATTGCAAAAGTTAAGTCATACGATCCCATTTTTATTAATAGGACATGCCATAAAAAGATATGTACACCGTAATTATTGATGTTTCACTACCCATAACTGTTCTTCTGCTTGTTGAAGAACAGGGGAACACAAAGGCTATGTTGAGAAAATGCAGCGTTTTCAAGTCCATAATCATTGTGGTTTAGAAGTCAATAGCATGACTGAGAAATAGGAAAGTTACATAAAGAAAAGTTAAAAGTGACGTAGTGCAATGCAAATCATACATAAGAACCGGTTAGAAACAGAAGTAGTGAATTTAAATCAACTGTTAGTCTTCTACTAAAAACTGTGGCAGCCTGCTGTTTGTTCTATACAACCTCATGAATATACTAATACTGCATGTTTGCCAATATTAGATTATTATCACATCCATAACCCTAAAGGTAGTGATCTAGCATTGCCTAAGTTCTAGCAGTGAACTAAGAGGTTGATGAAACATTTGATTCACTGAGCAGACACAAATAGTCAGATGTTTATGAACAGGCACCTCACATGTTTTACCTGAACTGAGCACATTACTGAATATTGCTAAAATTACCATGACGGGACAATCTTTCACACAATTCAAGAGAACTGGGGACCGATGATAAACACCCAAGCTTGAGGGGTATAATTTATCCTTAAGTAGCACGACTCAACAACTTGTGATCAAACTACCTTGACACGTGCTTTGGATGGTTTACAGATAATTGCATGACAGTATTTAAGTAGTAACTACTCAGTACCGAACGGGTTTGCGCAGAGGAAGAGCCTCTAAAAAAGCTTTCGTGAAGACTTAACAAAGTTCCTAGAGTAGCTAATCTCTAGCCACCTCCATGGAAGTACTACAGCGATCACGATGATGGCATTGTTCTAAGACGACAAGCTAGGGACCGCGCCAAACGCAAAGATGGAAGCACAGCGGATCAAGAAAGTAAAAAAATTATGAAAGAAATTCTACAGCAAACAAGTTTATATCAAGGAATTGCAAACTCCTCTGACGCGTACATGAACCCTGAAACTAACTTATAACCCAGCGCAGCGCAATTCATCGAACACCAGCGCGCCAACGAACAGCAACAGCGCGGCGAGCATTGCGCCTTCGCGAGAGGCGCGTGCGAGAGAGAGACCTGGCACCGAGCGACGACGTCGAAGCGCTGGGCGAGGATGTCGACGAGCTTTCCCTTCCCCTCGTCGCCCCACTGCGCGCCCAGCACTCCGGCCACCTGGCTCAGCGACTCCAGCCGGCCCCGCGCGGCCGCAGATGGCTCATCCGTGGTGGCGGGTGCCACGGGAGCCGCCCTCACCGGCCGGCATAGGCGCGGTGCAGGCCCCGGGACCAGGACGCGTCCGCCGCAGCCGGCGCCGGGGCGGATGAGAGAGAAGGGGGCGGGGTCCAGCGACAGAGGGGCTAGCGGCATGGCGTGGCGTTGGCGCGGCGCGGGTGGAGGGAGAAGGGGTAAGGAACTAGGAAAAGGAGGCGACGGCTGATGAGTGGCTGGTGGGTGGGCCTCATGTACGGCCTGCGTTACGATGCATTGCTCTTTCAAAATCATTTTTTGTTACCAATACCAAATCATTTGTTACTAGTATCAAAAAAACCATTGTTACCAAGACGGTAATCTAAAGTTTGATTCGCTCGATAATTGACAATCGCGCAGATTGATCACATATAAATGCCCATAATCCTTGCATTCCTTTTTATTGGACTATAGGATTGCGTCCGTGCTTTATTACGGGCAAAACAATAGGTCTCGTTATTTTATTAAAAACTCCTTGAAAATATTGTTTACCTTTGATTTGATGTGAGAGAAAAACATCTTTATTCATTTGGTTGGTTTGGTGAACGATAACTTGAAGAAGGAAGAATTTATTTGGTGATCCGAACGAGATCAAATGAACCGGACCATAGAATCCTATCCACATAAATAGATTTTTTTCTTCAAATGTAAAGTTGTCTTACACCGATTTTATTATAAAAAAATATACACCGATTCATCTCCTTCCAAATTGTCCACTACTATATCAACATAGCGAGCACCGGAGTTCCAGTGCTAGCAGTAGTTTTTCTACGTGGGTGCCCTTTAAAGCAATCCATGGGACTGCTACCACAATGTT